TGGACTAAATATATTTTGTGGTTCACCACTTTGGTTTTGGTTAAATTAATCGGATCTAACTTTGAATAGCGTGCCGCGTCGAACGGGCGTGAATAAATAATCGTATTAACGTTTGTTTAATCATTTATGCAGTAGGCGGTTGAATAAAGTTTACCCGTGTAACTTATACCTCCTGGTTTATTAACGGGATGAAAGGGAAGTCAAATGGACGGAATAATATTTAAAGTGTCGAATGAAATTTTTATAAAGCTCAGGATATTTATAATAAATTTTAAAGAAACACTAAGCGTGTTTCAAATAAGGTTAGTCGTCAGCGTTGCTCAGCTCGAAAACAGTTTTAATCTGTGTTAAAAAAAGGAAGGGGGACTGCAATAAAAGCTTGGCAGCGAAACACAAGAATCCAATTATCTCATTGACTTTGCAAGACTAGACGGAAGGGGAAACTTAACTCGGAAGCGAGTTAATCTGAATGAAACTCAACATTTAAAGTGCGATGTGCTGTTGCGGTGTCCCTGAAAACGAGTATTTAGACATTCCGCTGTTTCGGTGAATACGTCGTGAACTACTGAAAACCTATAAGCATAGGAATTGTTCCTGACACAACGTTTATCGTACACTGTAACGTATCTACAACTAACTTGTAACAAATTTGCAACAAAAGTGTATTCTTAGTATTTATTGACCCATTTAAGATTACGACTATCAAACCAGTAAAACTAGTTTTGAGTGGAGAAATGCGTACATGTAAAAAAAGTCAGTATTACTGATAAAAAAAGTTCATACGGTTTTGTAATCGCAGGAACTGGTTTAGACCCTCGAATCTCGGTGTGAGGTTTTTATCAGTAGTGAACAGGGCCCGGTGATACCGTAGTATCGCGTCGCACTAAAGGGGGGAAGCATTATCATGCAGCTAATTGCCGGCTATTAATTCAAGTGGTTGTGTCAATGATTATAGGTATGTAGCGCAGCACTAAGAGGTTCATCCTAATATTGGTTTAGGCCCTAGGCTACTGTCATCGAGGAGCTGTATCGTACCCCCGTATACGCGTCCCGGCTACTGTGTCGTGTGTATCCTCGTTGTATGCGCCTAGCCACGTCGATGCCTTCGCCGTAATTACTATAATTATCCGCTGCCCAGAACCAGATGCTTCGCCTCCCTCTAATCGAATTGTTAACGGTCTTCCCAATTAATCTAAGAATTTAGGGAATATTCGTCGACAATTTTTCTCTTATTTCACTCGTACAAGCGGTTCAATTGAAATACGCGAATTTTAGTTAGCCATAAAATATTTTAGCAGTTAAAGCTGTAATCGCGTTTGAATTAAAAATGGAATCGCCGGGGGATGTTTGATGCTGCGGTCATTAGACGCAACGCACAGAAGATCAAGGGTCTTTTTATACGATTGGGACATGGCGAGAGCAATTTAGGCGACTGGTTCTTACGATATACAGCCAAACTTGGTGGCTAGAGAACGCGGATATAGGTGAAGGGGAGAACGTGGAAGAGAAAAAGGAAGGGAATAAGGAATAAGGGAAGGAGGGAAATATCAGTTTTTGCGGAGGGCCCGGCGACGGGACAGAAATGGAATTTTGCCAAAGCTAAGCCGCTGTGGAAATGCCACCGTCTATTTTATTCCGCAGTCAATGGCACTCGGCACCTACTCCCTCACCCGTGCCCTCTCCGCAGGCCTGTTTTCCTTTTTGCAGGCGTCGCATTAAACCTGCCTAATGCCGCTTGAGAAAGAGAGCTCGAAAGACGAACGGGTGGAAGGGAACCGATAAATCGAACCGGTTCAAATTTCTCAAGGGATCCCTGGCCATGGGACCCTGTACAATAACCCTGCAACGAAATGTATGGCTAACGTGTTTCTCCGTTTTTTTTTATCATTCATCAACTCTCACAGCCTCTGCAAATAATTTCACAGGACAAACAATTTTTATAATGCAAACCAAATGCGAGTGGAGTTAAAAAAAAAAATGGAATTCCGGGTATCTACAGTAGAAAGTTCGGGATATTCGACGAGCAGATTTACCGGGTGGAATGGCCGAGGATAAACTGCTTAGGGGCGGAAGTTCGCCGGAAGTTGCCAAACTTAGCAACTGCGAGCGCTGTACTCGTAGAAATTAAGTTTAATGCACGGTGATAATTTCGAGGACTCTTGTTACAGTTACGCCCGACGAGGGACTCCTGAATTAATGACGCGCACCGGTTGCAATTTTGTTAACAACAGGCTTCTTTTCGCGCTGCTCCTGCGGTTTACCTTTATCAAATCACGCGAGCATCTGAAATGTGAAATGCAGGATGATTAAATCGGATGAGCCCATGAAAACCGTAATGTCTGTTAAAAAAAGAAGGCAAGGGCAAACTATAGAGTTTAATTATACAGCGAAAATATAATATATTTCTTTCACTGTACGTTACATACATTTTTCATTAAATTTTTTTTTTTGTTGTTTATTATTAGCAATGTTCTTCCGACGTCTGATTTCTTTTTAAAAAATGCGTTTCTAAAGTGCATAAACTTTTGGGATTGACTGTATAGCCAATACATCCTTAAGGTCCACCTGTATCATTCGTATCATCGTTACGTGTCGCTGTTACACATCATCGTGCACGGTTTGTCCCAGGGAACAAGTGAGAGATCGAAGGAAGAGAGGTATAGAATAATACCGAATTGGGACGTTATAGAAGGTCCCTCGAGGGTGGAATTCAATAAGGGAGTAGTATCTTGTCGTCGCCTGTCAAAACATCTCGTTTCTTGACGGCAATCTCGATGATTTTTTTCCTTACCACGGATTTCCTCCGTGTGTCTCCTTCTTCATCCTTCGTTTGCAGAGGTACGGGGGAATTAGATTGACTCGAATTGACTCTCACGTTCCTGTGCGCGTCAATATGAATCGAGCAAATTGAATAATCGCCAGTAGCCAAGGAAAACCTTCAACACGGTCCTGAAGATAATACCTTGCCAGTGGCATTGGTTTTCCTCATCCTACGTTTGATTGTCTCTTCTAGCCAGATGGTAGAAAACCCACGTGCCCCTCGAGGGATCAATAAAGACACAACTAACGGTCGTCTGCTGTCTATATTGTTTATAGAATGAACTTTAGCAGAATATTCTAATGTATTGTAACATTAATTGAAACACGAGCTGAAGACACTTGACGCGACAGGTAGGAAAAAGTGACGGCGAAGGAGGATGTTCTGTAGAATTTTCTAAGGGAAAATCGAGAGGTGCTAAGAATACCTTGGAGAACGTCTTTGTTTTCGTTAATGGGATGTTATTCTCTTCATAGTCCAGGGCTGCTTTGAAATTACATATTATACGAGATTATTCAAGATTTTAAATGTAAGCTAACGAAATTTTCGAAAATTCACTTAGCTTTTGTTTACCTTCCATCAGTTTTAATCAAAAACTCTATTAAGTCTTTCGAAATTTCTAAAGATTATAAATGTGGGACGTATTACAGCTTGTACATAATACACAAGGGAATCAATGAAAATTATTCTTCATAGTCCCTGTACCATATTTTGCCATATTTTGTTTCGTCGTTAAAACAGAGGAAGGAACGTCAACAATTTACCAACAGGCGCACGTGACTACCCTCGGCCTTTAAAATACTAGGGAATATTCTACAAGTGAAGTAAAAAATATCCTGCAGCTAAAATAATACCATAAAGGAGCTGCATAAAACTATCGCAATTATTCACTGTCAGCCAGGGATCGTAACTCCGCATTTCCATTCCCCGTACGAAAAACCCTCTGCTATAGATTTGATCTCGCAAAAAACAGTGTAACGTTGTAGCACCCAGTAAAAATTCGAGGTTCTTTCAAAGTAGGGAGCAGCATGCGGTGGACCCGTTTGATATACAAACGAGGGAAACCTTGGGCTGCCTGGGGTGGGTTCCGTTTAAAAAAAAAAAACACTCGATCGATCATTCGGAAACGATAGCCGCGTCGTTCGAGACTTTAGGTACACGCAACGCTTTGACACTTTGCAAATGAGACGTCGCACGGTCACCGTGACGCTTTTTTTTTTTTGTTCTTCCTTCTTCTTTATTCCCTTTTTTTAATGCACGCCAGCGTGCTTTCTGCTTATCGATTACCGATCGGGATTGTCCATGCGTGTCAACCTCTTTGCACACAGTTGGACAGAATCCGGCATTTACTGCGTGACAGTGGGGCTCGCCGGAAGCTGATTCAGCGGCGTGGCACTAAAAGGACTCGGCGATAAATCACTTTGGCAAATTCTTTCGAAAGCACTAAGTGCTCCAGGGTTGCCCGTCGCGTTTCAAAGGAGTGCAAGAATAATTATTATGTAACCCTCGTCGTTTCTACCTTTTTAACTTACTTCTATACTGGAGTTTCACGGAGTTGCTTTGGATCATTCAGTTTGGGGAGAAAGATTTTTTCATGGAACGTCAGGAATTGTCGAATAAAATTATTTAGCTAACTAATTCTACGTTGAGTTAAGCTGGATGTGCCAGTTTCGCGAGGGCCTCCTTGTTTTAATCCTCTGAATATTTTATATCCCTGCTCATTTGCATAAGAATGCTGGCGAGAATTACCAAATTGATTTACCTTGATATTATCCGCGGTAAAACCGGGTTAAATTGGGATTCGCACGGTTTTATAAATGGATCGAGTTCGTTCTTAGCAGTAATATTTCAGGGTCTCCGCGCCTCGCAAATATGTCTCTCAAAGACTATTAGTTTTTAATTCAGTTGCACCCAATGTGTTACACGCGGTTGGATTCGACGTAATATTAAACGTTCATCGCGAATTTAACTTAGCAAATACACCGTGCCCGGAGGATGATGTAATCCCCCAGACTAAATCCTCTTCATTAAAACTTTCTATAACGACCCGGCCGTTTTACCGGTTTAAAAATCAACATGGAAAAGTGTGTTCATAATTACGTAACGTAATTCCACGTGCATTCTAGTAAAATATTTTGCGATGTTGCGAGATTTTAAGACGTTCATGATTTTGTTGACGCAGGTGTGCGTGACGCGGACAGCGACGAAAAGAAGGTGGACACTGTCCTTATTTTACCGTCCGACCAACTGATGGGGGCGACCGATTTCGACGACACCGACAGCGCGGAAAACCCGTTCTGGGGTTGGAACAGCATGATCAGATCGAACCTGATGGATAGATGGTACTCGAACATACAAGGTAAGCAAACAGGAAAATTCATATAGTCGTTATTAGCCGTGGGAGGCTTGTCGTATGCCTCCGATAAGAGACCCTGTTTCTGATCTACGTTATGTTAAATTGGGACCATCCCTTCCGGTAGTACATCGTCGAATATTGGATGTACGTATTATGAAACGTCTCTTCTATCTGTGGATTAAAAAATCTCCTTTTCCCTTGAAATCATTGATATTTTCACAAGAACTATTTTTCAGAAAGAATAGAGCATTTCTGCTTCCAAATTTTGTTTCCACCCTGAGAAACTCTATAAGTGCTGTGTTACTCTTCATACAATTCCTCATTTTCTCATAAAATCATCGTTTTTTACAAAAACCACTATTGTTCGGAAAGGGTAGAGCATTTCAGCTACCGGATCTTATTTTTACCATGAGAAACTCTATAAAGGACTTTGTAATTCTATAAGGAATTCCACAAAAATAATGCGTTATACAATAATGAAGAGAAACGTGCGTTAAGTACTAATTAACGAGATAAAACGATATGAATCGAACCGCAGATGATCACCGCGTCCAGCGGATAACAGATTATAGACAGAGATCCATCGGATTTAGTGCCATGGAATCGGCTAAATACTAAATAGAGTGATTGCCGCGCGAACGGTACGACCGCACGCTTAGGTCGCGGAGGGCCGCAGATCCGCGCGAAGCGGATCACGGTTCGACAGGCACAAACATAAAATTACAACCTCTGCACTCCGTGCTATTCGTGGGTTCTGCTTTACATGCGGTCTGTCAAACATAGCATCCGGCGCGCGACGCGCCATTTGGAATTTCTCCTGTCGTCGTCACTTCGTTCTAAATAAAATAATTGTCCTAAAGAAGAGCGCGTGCCACGCCGTTTCGCACAAACTGTATGCTTAAGGATGTTAATTTCTGTTTGAGGACCTATGTTATTCTTCTTATCAGTGTTGCTATGAAAAATCCTTAGGAAGGAATTTCTTCTAGAGAAAATAATATCTGCTCTAAATAAAATCAATATTGTCACGGATCGGAATATCACAATTGTTCGATGTTTATTGTTAGAATCGGGGAATTCACTGAATTGAGAGCCGGTGCGAGCGTAGCAGCGAAGTTTCAAAGTCGTTTCTGCGTTAAGTGTTGAAATTATTCTTGAACGTGAAATAATAGCAGTACGTACGTACGAGTCCCAGTTACTCACTCCGTCGTGAAATATGGGAAAAGTTTCAAAGTTACGTTTCGACGTAACGTGATAATTTTACAATTACACTTGCTACGAGTAGTAAAGTTACTCTGTACCGAGCATATAAACATTCCGTTGCCACTTGAACCCGGAATAATATTGTAATAGCGCAGGTATAACGAAAACACGGTCGTCGTAGCTCGATGTGTACCATACCAGTATAGAAAATTAATCTATCTTCTGGCGAAAAGATTGCGAACTTATTTGCCGAACCGATAGAACAACGAATTTTCGAAAGCAATGAGATCAATTATTTTTGTCGGTATTTAAAGCGTGGGTATAAATGCCCTACGACTGTAACAAGTTTAGTAGTACGAGTTTTCGCGGATGTCGAGTACGTTAAAACACGGCGCACCGGTTCATTGCGAATTCCACGCGATAATGCGATCAATCTTTTCACACTGCAGACCCTGCTCCTCGTTGTGATTCTTCTTCGTTCCTTCATTCTTCCCTCCCAAGTCTCTCTCCCTCTATCTCTCTCTCTCTCTCTTCGTTGTCCTCAACTTGTCTCCTTCCACCATGGTTCCTCTACTTCGTTTCTGACTCGCCTTTTTCTTCTTCAAACTCGTTTCTATCGGTATGCAGATGTATTCATGAAATTACCCGGGAAACGTGAGCAGAAGCGTGTGGAACCAGCAACAAATTGCGGATGCTCGCTCTCCAAGACTATAAAATCAATTTTCCGTTACGTGAAAGAACGGCTGTAAAGAAAAAGGAAGATCGGTAGATTCCGTTCAGAAGGGAAAGAAGAGGAGCATCCGCAGTTTCCGCGATGCCGCAGTAATCACGAGCAGCTAATTAGGACGGTAATTTCTGCTAATTGCTTTCATTAGTATAGAACCCGCGATATCGCCTTCTTTATAGCCGATATAATTCTATAATTACATCGATTCGGCACCGTGCATTATAACTGCTCTGACCGGCTCCCGTCAATTGGCCAACTACGAATTACAGGTAGAAACCACGAGCAATTTGCGAATTTTTTCATCAATTTTCACCCACTAGAACCGCAGGACTTGAATACCAAAAATATCGAAAATCGTATGTCAAAAGGTACTCTGTCAGAACTGGCAGTTCCTCGAAAATTGCGATTTTCACAAATTTTTTTTTAATGTAAATAATCAATCGATCGTTTTGGAAAAATTCACACTTATACTGCTCGTATAGAAATACGTCTCTGAATTTTTTAATCAGATTCCATACGCTAGAACCGTAGAAATTAAATACCAGCAAAAATCTAGTGTCAAGGGATCACCTCTTCAAAATTTGGCAAAATAAAAATCTTCAAGATGCATTGAAAAAAATTTTCACACGTTTTACTCGTATAGTATAACATTTCTGGTGATTTTTAGAGCTTTCATTACGTTCGATTTGCGGACGATAAAAATATCAAAAATCGTAATCTAATATTTGAAAATTTCGCTGCACTCCGAAAACTACATTATCCAAACAAATATTATAAATCAATTATTACAATCAACAAACTCGTTTACGTTTCTGTCCGTTAAACCAGGTTGAAAACAGCGTGCAGTAATTAAATTACAGTTAAACCATCGTTGAGATAATTAACCGGGCTGTCATAAAAGTTGCCCCGTTTCCACGTTCAGCAAACGTTCACGACAGCTGCGTGAAATACATCTTGTTTTTCGCTGTTGCTTTTCGATTTTCGGTTTACGACGTCAGCCGATACGAAAACACAGCCGGGCTTTAGGAACAACAACAAACAGCGAAGCGAGCGCTGGTAACGATGTCCTCCGAATTTTCGTTCATTATTCCAAACGGGATTCATTTCATTTTACCTTTAACTTTGGAAACTAATAATGTTGTACGCGTTTCCTCTCCACGGGATATTTTCTATAACCAGTACCTGTCTTGGCTTTATTAGCAGTACTTTTGATTTAATAAAATAAAAATCATTCTTTATTGAAGTACATCTTTCTAAACGATATTTGTAAGTGCTAAGATTGTTAAGCTCTTTTCATTAAATTATCTGCGTTAATTATCGGCTCATTTTCGGCTCTAACGCTTTTTCTGGAACACCCTGTATTTTTAAATCTTTGCACTCCAACATTGAGGTCACAGCACGCTCTTTATTGGTGCAACTCCAATACTGAGTAGCACTCACCCGTCGTTCATTGGCGCAACTCCAACGATGAATCACGCCCATCGTGCAGCTCATTGGTACAACTCCAATGGTGAGGCGCATAAACCTTAAGTAACGATTTATAAAAGAAATAGAAAAATTGATACTGAGATCAGTCAGTATAATCTCGTCGTGGTGTATTGATCAATTCACAGTACATCTGACGCTTCTTCTTTACAAATAAAATCAGAGTTGTTAGGAAAACAGTTTTGNACGTTTCTGTCCGTTAAACCAGGTTGAAAACAGCGTGCAGTAATTAAATTACAGTTAAACCATCGTTGAGATAATTAACCGGGCTGTCATAAAAGTTGCCCCGTTTCCACGTTCAGCAAACGTTCACGACAGCTGCGTGAAATACATCTTGTTTTTCGCTGTTGCTTTTCGATTTTCGGTTTACGACGTCAGCCGATACGAAAACACAGCCGGGCTTTAGGAACAACAACAAACAGCGAAGCGAGCGCTGGTAACGATGTCCTCCGAATTTTCGTTCATTATTCCAAACGGGATTCATTTCATTTTACCTTTAACTTTGGAAACTAATAATGTTGTACGCGTTTCCTCTCCACGGGATATTTTCTATAACCAGTACCTGTCTTGGCTTTATTAGCAGTACTTTTGATTTAATAAAATAAAAATCATTCTTTATTGAAGTACATCTTTCTAAACGATATTTGTAAGTGCTAAGATTGTTAAGCTCTTTTCATTAAATTATCTGCGTTAATTATCGGCTCATTTTCGGCTCTAACGCTTTTTCTGGAACACCCTGTATTTTTAAATCTTTGCACTCCAACATTGAGGTCACAGCACGCTCTTTATTGGTGCAACTCCAATACTGAGTAGCACTCACCCGTCGTTCATTGGCGCAACTCCAACGATGAATCACGCCCATCGTGCAGCTCATTGGTACAACTCCAATGGTGAGGCGCATAAACCTTAAGTAACGATTTATAAAAGAAATAGAAAAATTGATACTGAGATCAGTCAGTATAATCTCGTCGTGGTGTATTGATCAATTCACAGTACATCTGACGCTTCTTCTTTACAAATAAAATCAGAGTTGTTAGGAAAACAGTTTTGAATGCTCTACAAATGTTGGCATTCCTGTTCGTTGAATCAATTCAGAGATACGAAGTATAGAAAATTGCAGGTGCATGTTTCCATTTCGTAACGCGAAACGCCTATTTTACAATCCGACGAGAGATGATCTCGATATAAAAGGAGAGAGTTACGCCAGTTACATTTGCACGTATACATATACATCCTGTTGGTTGCGCAATCGTTGCAAAACGCGAGAGGGTCGCAATTCCGATTTCAAAGGTCGCCGGGTATTGCATCAAGGTTGATAATTATCGTAAACGAAGTTTACTCATCAGACGATCACTTTCACCTGGGCTTCTTTTGACATGACTGTCGATCTGGAAACAAAGGCGAGAGGACGTTGATGAGGAAGGCGAGAGGGACGAATAAAAGGGCAATAATTGCGCCCCGGGTCGATCGTGTAATTCATTAGGCGAAAAAAGGAGGACGGTGTATGGGCAGCAATTTTCAGTAATTGTCGATTGCACGACTCGATGAGTCGTTATTCAGATCCACGTTACGTATCCGCGTTGCCAGCCGGAGTGGAAGGAAGGGTCTTCAGGATTAAAAGTTGCTGAGCGCTCGGAGAGAGCGTCGCGGCGGTCGTTGTTAAAGAGGGGAGAAAATTTACGCCTGAAAAGAGAAGCTGCGTCGAGAGGAAGAAAGGGGCCTCGGTTCTGATGCATACACTGCCCTGCAAAAGTTTTCTACGTGTCCGATCGCTCGACCCGAGCGGAAAACAATTCCCAGTGAGAAAAAAGCGATTCGAAATTGTTGACTGTGTCGATTCCTCGATCCGATCGCTCTTACTTAGAAGACCGGGAATAGAGGATGTGCACCATTGGCGAAGTTCATTCCTCGGGTAAACAGAGGATTAGCGATGCAGAAATGAAACGTCCATGACCAAATACGATATCTTGTTTCGGATAGGGAAGGGTTCGGGTGGAGAAGGGACTCTAATCGAAGTTGCAATGTTGGCACAGGGGCACAGAGACGAGTTCTTCGACTCGAAATGGAGAACGATGTTCAGAAGCCTCACGGCGCCGTCCAGACCGTCTCTAACTTAAGAAAATCTAGTACAATTGAACAGGGAGTAGCTACCTCCACAGATATACATGAATGCGTTAAAACTGGCTGGAAAACAGATGCTAAAATAGAAACTGTAATTATTTCTATAGACCGCATTGCCGATGAAAATTGCCTTGGCTAACCGCTTTATCAACTAGTCAGTAATGACTTAATGTACATGTAGGGTAGACAATGGGAGTTTTCCGTGTCAGACTCAAGGATGACCCAGTCCTACAATTTTTTTGCAGTCTTAAACCAGTAGGGATTCTAACGTGAACAGAAATTGGGACACTTACTATATCTACTCATTATGCGGCCTTCTGAAAGGTCTGTCTATATTTTTGAGTCCTCTAGCTTTGGAATAGGATAGAAGTCTGTGACTCTGAGACTTTATTAACATTCTTTCTCTATCTATCCCCTTAAGAATTATTCCTATGTACAAATTAATTTTTGCCATTTGGGACCTTAAGTACTAATCGCACGTCCGTGCGATACTAGGTTTCACATTTCCTTCGCCGATTGGTCAGATTCTATCTGGAGGCGACGACATATGATGTGTACCTCGATTTTGTTTTTCTAATGTTTATTCTATTTGATTCCAGCAATGAAGGCTCAAATGAGACGGTTGGCGAATATGATGGCGGCTGGCATCCTCTCAAGCATTTCGGATGAGGACACTGGCAGCCCTTGGATCAAGATTCCAGAAGGAGCGAACACCACTTCGACCACCAAGGTGGGTACCACGCAAGTACTTGTTATTACCGTCTTATCTTTTGATGCGCAAACAGAATTAAACCTACGAAAATTGAAATTGATTTTAGGTTGTCGACGGACACGTAGTGACCGTGAATGAAACGACGTACACCGATGGTGACGACGAGAGCGGCATTGTGATCAGAGTCCGCGTCATCGACGTTAGACCGGAGAACGAGACAATTTTGAGAACCGAGAGCGAAGAGGATGTCGAAGTAACCACCCTGCCCAGCAGAAGGCGCACAACCACTGTGACCACCAGAGTCGGGGATGGTACCACGGCCTCGCGTAGCGTCGAGACCGTCGAGGACCTCGACAACGAAATATCGGGAAACCAAGTGGAGACCCTGAACGCTTAGGGGAAGTTTGAATGAACAGCGACGTCAGATTGAATCCGAAAGTCAACTTCGTCGATTAAGAATTTCGCAGTACCGTGTTTTATATTATTTGCGAAAGGAGCATTAAATACACGGTTGATTCCATAAATCCAGATTAAAAATTGTGATATGCTTTCGTGGAAAATAAAATATTTAAAGAAGAGGAATGAAATTCAGGTCTGCATTTATTAAGTGCCTTGAGCTTTCAACTAAATTTCGTTTATTAAATTAATTTCGTTAATTTCGGCTTCTCGGGTTCAAGCTGATGACATTAAGCAGGAGAAATTGTAAAAATATGAAACAACAGATATCGTAGAGAGTTAGAAACTATATACTGCATGTTCCATAGTTATGTATTTAAGAACCGTAAACGAAGTCGATCGTTGTTAATATTTAATACATCGCGGAGAGGGAAGAACTATGTTACGACGAAGAAGCTTCGCGTTCGGCAATCCTATAAATTACCAGCGGTAGTGAAACTATACTACAGATTGTATACGATCTATGATATTCGAAAAACGAACACGAGAAACCCTTTTCCTTATTTTTATTTTTTAAATAAGAACAAACTGTTGAAAACTGTGTCCCTCTCTTCAATCCCGAATGTCTCCTCAGAATATGATAAAAATTTTATACTTGTATTTCCTTGTGCTAATAAATAATTGGAAAACAATGTTCGTAAACGCGGATGCATAAAAATAATGGTAAAAGAGGATGTGAGGCAAACTGAAATTACTGAATACTACATTTCTTCGTTTATCACAATCACAATGAAGAGTGTCATCGGCCGAGAATCGAACCCGAACCGACCGCGTGACAGCGTTCTACCTATGAGCCTATGAACATGAACCACCGATGCGCGTGGGAAATATTAAATACTGCAATTCCTCCGCGATTAGGGACACCAAACGCCATCTCTCGTAAAAATAGAAATTGGAACGACAGTAGTTGAATAAGAATGAACTCTATCATCCGCAGGCATAGCAGGAAAAGCCAACTCCTTCAAGGGTTGAACATCGTGCACGGCTTGGCGCATGGATTGGCGTTACGCGTATCCCCAGACGTGACATCATCGCGCGTGCGTTTTCACACGCCTAGTACCAAAAAATCGCAGGTCACTAAGTGACCATCAGCGCCAGAAAGTCACCATATATAGAGTAAAGAACTGTCATGTGGACGTGTCCGTTTCAATCTGTTGCAGTTTGGTAGCGATTTGGTAAATGGACGGCGCGGGTCCTGCGTTTTGATATTGATAAATCGCGTTCTACGTAAAATAAATTGAGAATGCGATGCCAGCACGTAGACGGCACGTCGGTTACGAGGTAGACCATGATCTCGTGATCGGAACCTCAAACAGTCACTGGCAGGGCAGTGTCACGACGAGTCAGCGTTATAATCATGAGAGTGAGGGCTGCGATTTAATCGAGAACGATAAAAAGCAACCGGATACCGCGGCAGCGACGATGACGTCGCGCGACAGGACCAACGAGTTCGTGAACGCGATCAGGACGATGCAGAGTAGGACCATGGCTCGCACCACGATCTCGCAGAATCCTCGTCGCACACGGCAATTACAGGGTTATTCGAATTTCATGATGATCGCTAAAAGCATCGGGAAAAACATAGCGAGCACTTACACAAAACTGGAGAAACTTGCTCTGTGTAAGATCCCAGCAAGATCTCTTTACTCAGGATACTTTTGGAATCAATTTAAGGATTTCCTTAATTATTTCAGTGGCTAAACGAAAGTCCATATTCAACGACAGACAAGTAGAGATCGAAGAGCTGACTAATATCATTAAAACAGACTTGAAGAGTCTGAACCATCAGATAGGGAAGTTGCAGGAACTTAGTAAAAAGCAGAGGCAGGTGTATGCATCACAGAGCAACCACATGGCTTCGCATTCATCTTCAATCGTTATGGCCCTACAATCGAAATTAGCGAACATGTCGAACCATTTTAAAAGTGTACTTGAAGTCAGATCAGAGGTGCGTAAGAAGAGAAAGATGGCATCATCAAATCGAATAACGCTTCTCTCGAAAATCTACAGAACATGAAGGAAGAACAAAGCAGAAGGCAACAGTTCAGTCAGGGTTCCTTATCGACTATGCTACCTCCCAGTGTTACTGGGAAGCAGGGTTCCTTGTTGCTCCAAGAACAGGACTCCCCAGGTTCTGTGGCGATCGACCTGGAGCCAGCGATGGGGCAGCTGATGATACAGCAAGCTATACAAGATGACACTGTAAGGTCATAATGAAGATACAAAATAATTGCCCAGTTACAGAACGATGTAAACTGTACGAATGCGCGGGAAATTCACTTGGAAGGGTTGATTTGTATGATGGGATCCACATGAAATCTAAATTATATTTCTATTCGCTGACGTAACTGGCGAACTGCGGATCTTATCTACAAATTTTCCACAGGAAACTTTGTATTTCGGTTTACAGCTGATTTCTTCGCACAACGTACTCTACTGTTAACTTCTTTAGATAACTCTTCAGTACATCAGGAATATCTGAGAGTTAACTGGGAAAAAGAAATGCAAATAACGTTAACTAGAAGATTTCTGTAGGTGAAGAGGAGGGCCGTTAATCGATTATTACCCAAATCATAGGGAGCGATCTTTCGCTTTCGAATCAGGACTATAGATTCTCTAATTCCGGTTTTAATCTTTCAAAACTCATTGTCAAACATGAGACGTTAACTCCGTATTGCCTTCCATTTCTTTCTTCCCGTACGCGCGATTCGCCAATTCGGAAAATTGACCCTTTCAAATGGATTTTAATAATAAAATAATAATAATAATAATGATGATAATAAAAATACTTCTAAGAAACTAAAAAATCTGTCAATGTTAGGATGCATACATACAATCCAGAGCGGAAACAATGCAGAATATAGAATCCACTATCGTCGAACTTGGCGGAATTTTCCAACAATTAGCGCACATGGTTAAGGAACAAGAAGAAATGGTGGAAAGGTAAAAATCCAACTGAGTTGATCAGTAGATTGCAGCTTCTTGGACGAAATAAGTCTGTTGATTAGTTTTCTACTTAAGATTTCTTACGAACATTTAACGAATTTCCAGGATAGACAGCAACATTGAAGACACCGAGCTGAACGTGGAAGCGGCACACGCAGAGATCCTGAGATATTTCCAATCAGTAACGAACAACAGGTGGTTGATGATAAAAATATTCGCGGTCCTTATATTCTTCTTTATATTTTTTGTCGTATTTCTAGCATAAAAAGCATAACCATTATTTTCCTCCACGCAAACGTTTGTAGTTCACCATTCGTGTCCGTTGTGATATAAAATAATCGACGAGCAAAGAATTTTTTTATACATCACGACCGTTTAGCTGTAGATTAATACTTTCCATTGCATTCCTTTCTTTTCAATTTGTGAATACTGTAAGATACATCGATGTGGCCAGCTATGTTGTTTGTAAAATGTAAAAAGAAAGCTAAGTGGGTAATAAATATATAATTTTCAATTTCCCTGGTAATTTCTCTTCAAGGCGAATTACAAGAAGTTGCGAGTAATAATAAATTACAATTTATTTCAATCTTCTTTAAAACCTTATATAACAGTCGCAGTTTAATCTAGATTCATATTACAATTTTATTCCCCGTTTGAAAGAAGAAGTGTTTCAGTGTCGAACGAAGACAAGTACATAGAACTATATAAAGAAACGGTTTTTACAATCTGCTCTACACCCCTAGTAATCAAATTTATTTACAATCCACAACAGTGAACGGCAGATGTAATTTATCGTAACTACCTTTCTTCTTTCTGTATCTCACCAATTCGTAAATGCTCCTATCGATCAATGCATGTTGCTTCACTTGCTTGTTACTCGATTAGAGTAACTCCTAAACAGTATATTTATAACAAAATAAGAAACTTAGACTTTACTGTTGTGGTGTAACTTGTCCAGTGACTCTCTCGAAGAATGCAAGGAACCTGGCAAACGAAAATTGTCTGTAAATGACTGATAGCCGATTGAACGGTTCTAACTAACAGATAGCATGAAACAAGCAGTGTGAAAAAGACAAGCCATGAAAGAAGACACGAATGATACTAAAGTTGCACAACAAAAATCAAACTGCGAAGCTAGTGAACGAAATCCTCGAAGCATTCAACCTGATACATATATTTATTTGTTCCCCTCCATAGTGCTCCAAAACTGTCTCACTTTTGAGAATCGCTTGCGTCCTTTTGCATGCACAACAAAAAAAGAGAGGACAAAATAATAGTGATAAAAAACGAAAAAGTTGAGATCTCTGAATATGGAAAAGAAGAAAAATTCGAATTGCACGTGCCACGTAGTTCCCTTGCGGTTCTCTGTTTTTATTATGCACAAACCTTTGTGATTTCGAACCCGTTGTTGCGCCGGATGGAAACCAGGATTGCGTGGAGGCGGCAACGAGTCTTCACTCCACGAGTGCGGCGCTCCAAGGGGCGGTGGCGGTAATATGGACCCGGGGGGAGGTGGAGGGATATCGTTACCAAACGAAGGCGGCGGGGATCTGTGATTAAAAGGTGGAAGTAAATGGGGGGACATTGGCGGCGGGGAACCGGCGCGGTCGTACCTGTTGGAAATAGATGGTGGGTGAAGAGGCATCGGTGGTGGCGAGGATAACCGGCCACCCAGCGGTGGTGGTCGCTGGCTGACATCGTACGGAGGTACCCCCGAAGAATTCGGTAATGGGGGTGGCAAATACGGAGGGAACAGAGAATGCAAGTAGGAAGGTGGTGGAGGAGGAACGTTTGAGGAGCCGGAAAACATCATAGAAGAATTGGAGGATTCTGCTCCTATGAATAACGGTGGCGACGTTGTCGTCTCACCGTTCGCTTCCAATCCTGTTTGAAAATGAAGTTTTGTATTCTACATTAGATCCTGCGGCGCCGGTGGTAAACGGGCCTAAGTTTCTCTCATCGTTTCATCTCGGTGATTAAATTAGCCTAGGATTTCTAATAATTCTAAGAGATACTACAATGAAATCTACGTTTATGTACAGTTTGTAATTACTTAGTGAAATACAGCTAAAATTCGAAAATAAAAACAGATTGTTTGATTATACTTACGATGTAATTTAGCTTCGGAGTCTACGTCGTTAATATTCTTCTCTATTAACGTAAGGCGATTACGCAGCTGTCCTGCTTCCACTTTGGACTCTTCTAAACGGCGTTCCACTTGTCGAGCTACCACCTAAAGTAATTTAATTAACATCAATATTACTACAAATTAATTATGTATGAAAATAGTAAAAAAAAAGATAATCGTACCCATTGCTCATGGGCCTTCGTTTCAAGAAGAGATATCTGACTCTTGTATTCTCTTTCTTGGTCCATTATTTCCCGTTTCAGCATTTCTATTTGTTGTCTGAAAACGAATAAAATTAATTAAAAAAGGAATAAATACAAAAGGTTTTTATCTTCATTTGGAGTCTCAAAAATATTAAACCCTTACTTATAATTTTGTATTTCTGTTTGCATTATCTGTATTCGTTCTACAGTGGATACAACTTCACCCTGCTGTTGCAACCAAATAGCTTCCTCCCTGTAATAATAATATAAAAAAATGTTGTCCTTTTCATTAAATTTTATATTAAATTACTTTTGCCGTTGGGCTTCTTTCTCCTCGAAGAAGTTCGTCAAAACTTCTAATCGTGTTTCAGCATCCTTCTTCTCCTTCTCCGCCAGTTTGTATTGTTCGCTTAAAATAGCCATCTCCTCTTTAACCATCTTCACGTGTTCTACACGTTTAAAAAGTATTTTTAACATTTTAAATTACGAAGTTATAAAGAATATTTATGAACGTACCTTCTAATAAATTGTGAGCTCCTTCGATCTCTGCTAGTCGCACTTTCAATTCATTTCTCTCCTCCAACAACGCCGTTGCCTCTGCCTTAACATGCGACACATCGTATAATTTGTTCAAATCCAAATTATTAGAATTCAGACGGTTAATGACTTCTGCCAGGTCCGTTGCCTCTGCCTTTTTAGTCTTCAATTCTTTCTGCAGGACTGCTTTCTCGGTAGAAATCTGTAAAAATGAACACAGGAAGCTTGATGGTTCATTTGTACGTCATTTTTAATACTCACTTCCTTAATTTGCATTTCTAATCGTTGCATCTTCTCAGTCAACGTTCGTTCGATACTGTTTTTAAGATTCGTTTCGAGTTTTAAGTCTTCCCTGAGGCGAGTGAATTCAATTTCAAGCTCTTCGTAGTTCTTCCTGGCAGAGACAAGCTCTGCTTTTAAAGAGTCGTTCTGAAAAATATAGATAAGAGTAATATCAATAAAACTTATAGAAACGTCGCGATATCTCAAGTTTAATAATTATCGTGGACGAGGAAAATACCTCTTGAGTCTTCAAGTTAAGAGCATTCGTCAAAGATTCGTTCGCAGCCTGTTGAGCATTCAATCTAGCTTGCAAATCCTCTACAGACTGAGCTAAGGGATTAACATCATCGTTTGTAGAAAGAACTTCTCTCAACATCCTCTCTAATTCCAATCCTGCCTCAGTAGCACTTTCCAAGTCCTTTTCTAACATCGCTACTTGATCCTCCAACTCCATCTTCACATTCTATCAAATTATAATAGGTAATATTTCATCGACTGTTTATAAAATTGTATCTTACCTGTGAGGCTTCTAATTCGGCCCTTAACGAAAGTACCATCTCGTCAGAACCAAATGATTCATCTTCCATGCGACTTAACTGCAATTTACTTCATTATAGCACAAGTTCATTAATAAAAAATACATGTGTAAGAAGAAACACGTTTCCAAGTACCTTTTCTTTTGTAGACTTTAAATTTTCGTTCGACATTGCACATTCCGCTTCTGAGATAAGTAGATCTTTCTCAAGCTTGTTGACTCTAGCGATGAGTTGCCTATCTCTTCTCATGTTCTATGAAAAATATAAAATTAATAAAACTACTGAAATATGTTTTGTTACTCGAGAATATGTTTCTTCTTCGATTATTACCTCGATACAATAATACCCTAAGGAAAACATAAGTGTAGCGACAGCGGTAATAGTTAAATACATTAGCATCATCCAATAATTGCTCTCAATTTGTATCCCAGCCATCAGAGCATTGTCTTCAGTAACTAGTTCCTTAATTCGTAAACAGTTTTAAAAGAATTCGTGACTTAATTTGCAGCTGCATTATTTAAAAAATAATTAATACTTACCTGATGTGTAAAATCGCTTTGTATGTCTTCCATAGAACATTTAACATCTTCTGCTGTGCAAACATCAGAAAAATCTGAAATCCACAAAAATCGACATTAATTTTGAAGTACAATGATAAAATTCATGATTAGTACCTTTTTCTTTTACGGATAAAATGCTTTCGATACTCGATTCGTAGGGAATGGGTGTCTCTTCTTTTATGTCCTCGATATCTGAAATTTCACTTGCATTTTGCTTATCTAATACTTGTAAATCGGACTGAGTATCTGTATCTAAACGTGCTCTAATATCTTCCGAAGATGTAATTGGTTCATTTATTATATTTGATTCAAGAAATAGAGGCGATATAGCATCACCATATTTCTTAAGATCTTCTTCTTTGCTTTTCTCGATTTCTGCTGATTCGATTTGTTCTGATTCTAATTTCGTGATACTTTCTAAATGCTCGACCTGTGCATTAATTGTTACATTTTCTTTAGCCTCTGTTGTATCGAGTTCTGTAGCAGTTTCTATTTTTTCAGATGCATTTGTATCATTTTCAAGATTTTTTGTATTTGGAACTATTAATTCAGCATCTGGAATTTTCAAAATTGTAAAATCTACTACTTCAACCTTATCAGAGTCTGCTGTATCTTCTTTTACGTCAACTGTAATTTGGGTATCTTCCTCTTTAATTTGAGATAATGTGGAATCAGATGTTTCTTTATCTGTCGTTTCAATACTCACGGTTTTATCATCTATTTTAATCTCATCTGTAGTTTTTACAGTCTGTACATCCGACTTAACGTCGATCTCTTTGCCCGAAATGATGCCCTTCTCATCTAACTGAGTTTTATTTTCTGCATTCACTGTTTCTTTACCATCATCAGCTGTAATTGTCTGTGGAATGCTAGTATCAATGACTTCTACCTTCTTATTTTCTTCAATCTTTACATCGTACTCTACATTATCAAGAATTGCACTTATGTTCAATGACGAGGCAATGCCACTTATTTTTGGTACATCTCGTTCGGATTGCTCTGATTCTAATTTTGTGATACTTTCTAAATGCTCGGCCTGTGCATTAATTGTTACATTTTCTTTAGCCTCTGTTGTATCGAGTTCTGTAGCAGTTTCTATTTTTTCAGATGCATTTGTATCATTTTCGACATTTTTTGTACTTGGAACTATTAATTCAGCATCTGGAATTTTCAAAATTGTAAAATCTACTACTTCAACCTTATCAGAGTCTGCTGTATCTTCTTTTACGTCAACTGTAATTTGGGTATCTTCCTCTTTAATTTGAGATAATGTGGAATCAGATGTTTCTTTATCTGTCGTTTCAATACTCACGGTTTTATCATCTATTTTAATCTCATCTGTAGTTTTTACAGTCTGTACATCCGACTTAACGTCGATCTCTTTGCCCGAAATGATGCCCTTCTCATCTAACTGAGTTTTATTTTCTGCATTCACTGTTTCTTTACCATCATCAGCTGTAATTGTCTGTGGAATGCTAGTATCAATGACTTCTACCTTCTTATTTTCTTCAATCTTTACATCGTACTCTACATTATCAAGAATTGCACTTATGTTCAATGACGAGGCAATGCCACTTATTTTTGGTACATCTCGTTCGGATTGCTCTGATTCTAATTTTGTGATACTTTCTAAATGCTCGGCCTGTGCATTAATTGTTACATTTTCTTTAGCCTCTGTTGTATCGAGTTCTGTAGCAGTTTCTATTTTTTCAGATGCATTTGTATCATTTTCGACATTTTTTGTACTTGGAACTATTAATTCAGCATCTGGAATGTTCGAAGTTGTAAAATCTACTACTTTACCCTTATCAGAATCTGCTGTATCGTCTTTTGTGTCACTCGATAGAGTTGATGTTACATTAACTTTAATTTGGATATTTTCCTCTTTAATTTGAGATAATATGGAATCAGATGTTTCTTTATCTGATTTTGTGTCACTACTTAGTACTGTAGTGTCTAATATCTCTTCAGAAGTAGTTACAAAGTCTGTAACATTGACTTTAAGAGCCTCTTCCTCTTTTTTCACAGTTTCTTCCTTTGTTTTCACAGTCTCTTCCTCTGTTTTTACAGATTCTTCAGATACTTCGATATTGTCTCTAAAAATATTTGACTCAGTGGCATTAATTGCTGAATCATTAATTGCATTTCCATTTGGCACTACTGTTGCTTGTATAACTTCTTTTACAAAAGCTGGCTGTACAGGAGGCTCTTTATGGTCTAAATGAACCGTGGTTCCGTCTATAACTTCGTAAGGCGGAGTGGCGTCCACTTTAGTCTGTGGCAGTTTTTCTGTGGGTTTTAGATCTAAATTATCATTTTGTTCACGTGATGCATGAATTTCCTTTACACCTCCAGATGAAAGTTTCTTGCTAGGTAAAGAATCAGTGGACACTTCATACAGCAATTTTTTATGTAAAATCTTATATTCTTTCAAAAACTCTTTTGGTACATATCCGTGTTTACCATTAATCTGCAATAAATATTTAAAAAAACTTATAAGTAGAATCTCTGTTCGGGAAGTTTAAATATATCAAATGCTTAAGACTGAAGTAGTCGAATTGTCGTTAATAAAATTTACCTCTACACCCCACAAATCAGTCCTGTTGCCAGCTTCTTTACTGTAAACTTTCACTATTACGTTTACGTCGAACGGCAACAGGCCTGGCTCATTCGGCATGTATTTAATCGAGGTTCTTGCTAGCGAGACGGGCTCTGCGGCGTACATATAATTAAGAATGTTCAATCAGCATTTAAAAATAATATAAAATGGATACATATTGAAGATATAGTATGGCTTCAATTACCGGAACAGTTCGGATCATAACACAGCCGTTTGTCCGATAACGCCGAGAAACACTCGGGTATTTCATTAATTATTATCGCAATAAATAGGAATAACACATTAATTAACAAATTTGTTCTCGTCATATTTCTACTATCGTAGTTCCACATCACTAACATATAATGACACAGCCTTGGACGCACATTTTATCCGCGAAGTAGTGCAACAATAAGGTGGTTCGGTGTAGAAAGTATTATTTAGGGACAGGTCAGGTGAGGTCAGGTCAGGTTGGGTATGACGTGAGCCAATTTCAAATTCCCATTGGCCAGTTAATAAACAATAAAATTAAAGACAATTATAAAATTTTAAATCGTTGCAGAATGATTGCACTTCAGCTTTCGTTCAGATTCATCTTCTTGAACGCAATCGCTCTAATTAGGAAACGATCATTCATCGATCATTGGCGAAAGATTTCTTCTCTCTTATACTGTTATTACTTCGTGACTTAGATCCACCTCAGGGAGGAACGCGGAACGGTGGAACGCACTTGTGGAGTGCCAAGTGCGAAAAACAACTATAAATTCGAACCGAAATCTCATCTGGAGAAGTGCTGGAGAAGCTGAGAAATTCTGAACAAGAATAGACTACATAATCCTTGTCTCTCCTACACTGCTTCACACAAGACACAAGCGTATTACGAAGTTATTGATAACATCCTTAGTGCCGGACTTATTTTCTAGAATATGAGGGCATTATTAGACCCCGAACTTATTTTCTCGAATATATGAGGGTATCGTTAGGAAAAATAAGCTTAGGATTGAAGAAATACACACACATGCTCTTCCATGTTGCTTCATCATTTCTGCTGAATACATAAAAACAATAAAAAGATTAATATTTACAATACAAACATATAAATTTCTATTTCTTCAAATTAGTTTCCACCAGCCAGCAGATATTGTAACATAGCTGTGTCACGTTGTGTATCATCGTTGATACACGTCGACGTGAGATGTTATGAGCGTTTTAAATAAATAAAACCTTATTAGAACTGGCGGTACTTAATTGGTCCCACGTTATGCAGACCTATTTTAGCACCCGTTCAACATTTGGTAGATTTGGTAATGATATGGCCGATATGGCGATGTGACGACACTAGCGCGTGCGCTTTTAAATTTCTGATTGATTCCACTATATGTATTATATCCACTATATACTGTATGCCAAAGAGCTCGTGGTCTGTTCCTGTTTAAAGTGATGGCATTTTCGATAATAAGTCTACGGCATTTATACAAAATATGCAATGCAAACACAGCAACCTTACATACAGCGCTCCGGCTACCAATTGCTCGGAGATCAGTTGTTCAAGCCGTGCAAAGACATTATTACAACACTGAAGGTAATGAAATTCATGAATTATAACCCTAAGAAAGGCCGGAATGTCCACTACACACGCAATGTTTGTTATAAAAATATGTCAATTAACGCGTATTAATAAAAAAGGAAGCTTTTGTTAACTTATTAAATTTTTTACTATTAAAAGATTTTTTATACGGGACCATATCCATTAATTGTTGATTCTGCCTTTACAGCGCACAGACCGAAAATAACAGGTAGCTTAACGAACATTCAATCGACCGGCGGTACTGTACAATCTTTGACACAAGATGGATTAGATAATAAGAAACTAGATGAAGAAGCAAGGGAAGAAGCTGAGGAACATGAGAAACGTGAAAGAGCCAAGAACCGTCTTAAACTTGGTTTTGCACTTTTGGGAGTATCACTTACTGTTGGAATGTCCTATTTTATATATGATTTAACAAGACCAAGATATGACGAACAAGGGAATATTATCAACGATGAATTTTCAAATCTACCATTTTACGAGAGAATATATAAACTCATCAGGAGGGAATTGAACTATTACAAAAAGGTATAATAAAATACAATCGAAACTTAAAAACAATATACCATTCAATGTGGAATTTTCTATTCAATGTGCTTTGTAGATGGTGCAAGAACCAAGTAGAACGAAACTGCTTCCAGACCCACTCAAATACCCTTATATTCAACCGCCTTACACTTTGGTACTAGAACTAACGGACGTACTAGTGCACCCTGATTGGACAGTACGTATTACATTTTCCTAGATGTCTATATCTAAATTTAATTTATATTCTTCCTTCTATTTTATATTTAATATATATACTATCAGTCATTATTTTCCTATAGTATGAAACTGGATGGAGGTTTAAAAAACGACCTGGCATAGACCAATTCCTCGAAGCCATAGCTCCTCCACAGTTTGAAATTGTGGTATACACAGCGGAGCAGGGAATGGTGAGTCAGTCAAATAAACAAAACCTTATAATAATTGAAAACTAATTATCATTTATAACATTTTTTAAATGATCTCTTTTTAATAATAACTTAGACAGTTTTTCCTATCTTGGATATCCTGGATCCTAACGGATACATTATGTACAGACTAGTAAGGGATACAACGCGCTTCGTGGATGGTCATCACGTTAAAGATTTAGACGCGCTCAACCGTGATCTTAGTAAAGCATGTATTTTTACTGTTATATTGTATTTTCATTCAAATGAATTTAGAAATTTTTGTATACTCATTTTGAAATATCTTACCAGGTGATAGTAGTTGATTGGAACGAAAAGAGTACAAAATTCCATCCGGAGAACACTCTGCGGCTACCGCAATGGACCGGTGATAACGATGACACGACGTTATATGATCTAGCTGCATTCCTTAAAAGTATGTCCAATTCCAAAATTTCTTCTTTTTAATATAAACAATATTTCGTTAATGTATCTCGCCTTTTCGTAGCTATACTAGCAACAAATGTGGAAGACGTCCGGGAAGTTCTTAATTATTACAGGCAGTTTGACAATCCATTGGAAGTGTTTAAAGAGAACCAACGAAAATTTTTGGTAAGTCCTTTTAAATATCTCTAAGGTAATATCTAATGTTCATTGAATCCCTAGATGCAGCAAGAAGAGGAAGAAACTAAAGCTAAACAAGAAAGTAGTAAAGTGCTTACGTCTAAATGGAAACCATCCTTTAACTGGAACCGCTAAAGCATTAGAATGAGACACGATAATTGTAAAATACAATAAATTGTAAATTACGTTCGTGATACTGTGTAATTATTGTGTAATTTTTGATATAAATAAACAAGTAATTCACAGGTCGAAGTAAATCGTCTCATAATTTTATTTGAAAAAAATGTTTGTCATAAAATTTATTTTCGATTCTTCCGAGATTTCTTTCGGACGGTTTTCACTTTGGGTAACAGGTCCTGCAGTGCATTGCTGTCGTCTAAATAAGTTATATCTATTTCTTGAGATACGCTGATTAATTCTTGCGTATTAATCGGAGTCGATATATTTTCTTGATCTTCTTGGGATAAAACAGGTGCTTTCGTATCTGCAGATTCCAACCAGCTTAAGACTTTCTGATGAGGCGCAGTCGTCAGAGGCAATGGGACGTCCTCAGAAATCTCCCATATCCCCAAAAGCTCTGGCGCTAATATATCCATGTAAGTACTTAATTTCTCGATAGACTGTTTCCAACTTGGTTCATACGAATCGTTCGAAATGCATTTAGTGTATTTCAACTCACTGTTTGTAAATACTATTAAAAATGTATAATAATTAGTTTCTAAGCTTTTTCTCGACTCACTTAACTTCATTTACCTTCAAGGATGTGTTCCATATTCGTTTTGTTCGACACTGCAAGAGGCACGAGAGCTTCGGTCTGTACAGATGCTGCATTTTCCCAGGAACTTAATATACAATAAGATCTAGTATTAATCGACGAATACCTGTCTAATGGGCCCTCATGCGATATACATTGATAATAAATATCCCCTAAAATATACACAATCATACTGTAAATTAATTATAATCAACAAATTGATCTTAACATACCAATTGAATTCTGTCGAAATAAGTATATATCCTCGTTATTTTTAATAAGAGCAGAGCCAATATTAGACAAGCGGAATCTGTCCCTTAAACAGGAATTCAAACTCATTCCTTGCATCTGAGATTCGTGTAATGTGGTATTAATGTCGTGGGGGGTATACGGAAAATGATATGAGTGCGAAGTTTCGTCAGTTGTCCAAGTATTAAGTATTATTGTGGTCTCTCTATTAACTTGACTTGATAAAACGACAAACTCTTTGTCTTCCCTAATAAATGAATCCTATGTAATCATATTGCTGTATCATCGATTCGGTAGCTAAATATGTCTTCTTTTACCTATTTATTGTACAACCCATAATAAGAGGCTGTTTGAATTGGTGGGTCCATTTTTGTTGAACGCATTGTTTGGGGGAACGATTATCACACATTAAAACGCTATGGTTAGTCCCTATGTATCTACAATAATTATTTCTACTGGGGAGGTCTAATGAAAGCTTCTCACATTTTTCTAAATGCTCTTTCGGGCACATCGTCAATACCGGAAGATCGAATGGAGCCTGCAACACATAATCCGTTAAACAATAACTAAAACTCATTCAATTATAAATGTACATATAATATTTTTACTCTAGTGTCGAGATAGTGCAGGCAGCATCTGTCAACGAATAAAAGTACATCGGTATCTGCGGACTGATACTTAATACTAGTCCATGGGTCATCGAACACTGTGTTTTGTGATACAGTATAACGACTAATGTGTTTCCTGCAGAATTATAAAAATTATACAAATTAAATGTCGTATAATTCAAAATTTAATACAGTTAAAAAATAAGTATTTACATCTTAGTTACGTCCCACAGTGTAACACGTCTTTCGACATTTGCTAAGCAGTAATGATTCACGTTAGTGGGATTTAAATCTCCGCTGATGTAAGGGATTTTCGATGGCTGCTTATGTATTTCAGTTAGATTACACTTATTGTCGTGTTCGGATAAGATATAAAAATTGCAATTCCATTTATATCTGCCTAGAACCATGCCTAAGGAATAACAGATTTTATTTAATTCATTTTGGAAGTCATACTCCCAACCAGCTCCCTAAACCCCTAATACCTACACCTATCGGTAGTTAAATTGTGCTTTAATTCGTATAAACTTCCATCAAGTTCGCATTTAGCGGATTGATTTAATAGAGGCTTCCATAAATAGTTTTCTGCAGCAACCAGGGGGGCACTTACTATAAAGAAAGAAATTTAATACCATGAAGATATGAAGGAGAGTATTATAAGTACCTAATTCTCCCATGAATGGAAAAAGTAAAATATTCTTATTATTTAATTGTAAACAATCTACGGACCCACCGGTATAGTACCAATTGTAGACCTGTAATTAATAAAATTTTAATACTGTATTAAAAATTATATAAATGTTAATTTACTCCTTCGAAATAAGGGTCTGGGTCCTTTTCAATAAGTTCTGCTAAGTCTGATATATATCTAGGTAGCTTTGTAGTCAGTGCATTTTTATTTTTCTTCCATTTTACATCATTTTTCCGTATGAACTCCAATTCTACAAAAATCATTAGTGATTTGTAATTACTAAGATTCCAATAACTTCATTGTCATGATTACCTTTTTGATGGGTGACATAATATTTCTTCAATCTATCTATATCACTTTTCACCTGGTTTTTAAGGGTAATTAATTCTAACGCAGGATCTTCTTCACTTAACACTACAAAATTTATTAGGACAACAATTAAATTCATCTTATGTACGGATTTTAATTTATTAATTAATAAGTTTACCAATTCTGGGTAATCGGGCAGGAGGTAATAACGGTTTTGGTAGATCACAATGATAAGGATATTCCTGATACTGTTCGATAACATTTTCTAAATCGGAATTGTCGACAGAAAAATTATTGTGCAAATTGAACCCGGGTATTAAATAATGGGGAACATGGTTCAGAATATCTGTTTTTAATTTATTCTTCAAGTTTGCTTCAGCACGTTTATACGATTTTGATGATAAAATATCCTGATCTTCCATTATAATTAATTTAAATACTCATAACTGACAGTTTTCTTTATAAACATTATTCCCCCGTTCTATGCGTTTCATTACTTTGAAAGACTTTGACTTTACAGAGAAACGATCGAAACTGATCATGATTGTAAACATTGTAAATTATAAGAACAAGCTGGAATAAGCACAGACACCATGTGACTCACAATCAAACGCGGTCACGTGACAACCTACAAGCGATTGAAGCGATAGTGGAAACGGAAACAGCGTGACGCGTCCTTTTCCCCTGTGGAGGTCATGGTGGAGGTTCGCCAGAGGTTCGCCAGAGGAGAATCGAGCCAATTTGCTAGAAGTAGAAGGGGATGGTAGGGGTACGGCCCTTTCTCGGTAACCGGCAACCGTGGATTTATATAGATTGAGAGCTTCGTGGGGTTTTAGCATAGGTGGCATGGCATGGATTTTAGGAAGAGTAGTGGGGGGTCTGTGGATGGAGGCGCTGTGGAGAGATCCATGAAGTGACAGGTGTATAATTATTATTAAAGAAAAGAATTATAAAATTAAAGACATGTCATCGTCACATTTATCGACGGGGCGTTTGAACGTGGGAATCCTTCAAGAACAAGCAAGGAAGGAATTGCTTTGCTTGCTTGAAAAATGCGATGGGAAGAAGGTATCAACCGTATAACCTCCTCTATGTTCATTATAATGAATGGACTGCAGATATTATATAAAACTATTCATTTATTATTCAAATACAGAGAAAATATCAAAAACACATCTTATGGTTCTTTGAATTTTTATTTACATTTAATTTTCTACATCGATCTTACAAGTGTTTTATTTTGCACAAAGATCCACAGCGGACTTTAATAATTAAATATCCATTTCTTTCGAGTTAATAAGCAATTTTTTAAATGATTCAATAGGCGATCATATGGGACCAATCTCTTGAAGGACCGATTGGTCTCGTAGCGAAATATAATTTACTCGAGGAACACGATGTGGTCAAAATGTACCGTCTCTGCGGTGGTAGCTTAACGATACCGCCAAATATCGTTAATATAATATTCATAACTAGACCACAGTTAGGTCTCATGGACTTAATAGCTGAAAACGTTCACGGGTACGTGAAAAATGGAAAGCTTCATTAAAGCTTCATTATTAAACTGACATTAATTTATAGGGAAGAGGGGAAAAGACCACGTAAAGAATTTCATTTATTCTTTGTACCAAGAAAGAGTCTCCTCTGCCAAAAGAAACTTCAAAACAGAGGCGTTTTCGGCAGTTTCACGCTAATAGAAGAGTTCAAATGCGATCTATTTCCTTTCGATAACGATCTCCTTTCAATGGAACTTAGCGCGTCGTTCAAAGAATTCCATTTGGAAAACGATCCCACTTGCCTTTATCAAGTTGCTCAGGCAATTCTCGGGTTGCAGAAATTATATGGGAAGATTCCTAAGGTCACGGGCAGGGGCCCTGCCGCTAGCAAGGTCTGGGAATTATTAGAGAAATTGAGTAGAGAAGAAGAGGACAATAAAGCAACGTCTTCTCAAGCGTCTACTATAGAACATTTATTATTAATAGACCGTTGCGTTGATTTACTCTCGCCTTTAGTTACGCAGTTAACTTACGAAGGATTGATAGATGAAATTTTTGGTATAAAATACAGTTGAGTGTCCCGTTCTCTAATCTATCTTACTTCATTTAATAAATATTTCTAAAAGTTTAATGATTTTAGATACAGTGCAACTGCCAGCGAAAAAATTTCATGACTCCCAAGACTCCCCGACTACGATGTCTCTTAATGAGAAGGAACAAATCATATTAAATTCCGGAGAAGAATTATTTGCGGAAATCAGGTACATCTCTATTTTAATCTGTGATTATATGACTCTATAGAGGTTCTTTAATTGCAGAGATAAGAACTTTAATGGGGTAGGACTTGTCCTTAGTAAAAAGGCTAGGCTTATTTCGTCGCAATTTGACGAAAGGCATGGGGATAAGAGTGTGCAAGAGATTAAGCAATTCGTAGCTCGGTTACCACACATGCTGGCTACGAAACAATCGCTAGCCAAACGTCAGTACTTAATATATATCAATCAAAATTATAATTAATGCTATACTGTGGATTTATTTTTATTTTTCAGACACGACGATAGCAGAGATGATAAAGGAAGTAACGGATTCGAGTAGCTTCCTCGAATCCTTACAAGTTGAGCAAGAGTTATTAAACTGCATGGATACAGACAAATCGAACTCCTTTATCGAAGACATGATAGCCCAGCAGCAGCCGTTGTTAAAAGTCCTACGACTTCTTTGTATCCAGTCTTTAACAAATTCCGGACTTAAACCAAAACTATTAGATTACTATAAAAGGGAAATAATACATACTTATGGTTACCATAATCTACCAACTATATTAAATTTAGAGAAGGCTGGGTTGTTAAAGCAGCAACAGTCTGCGCGCCAATATGCAGTTTTACGAAAAGCTTTGAGGCTCACCGTTGAAGATGAGAGCGAAATTACACCGAAGGATATTAGTTATGTACATTCTATTTACGCGCCGTTGAGCGTTCGACTTGCTGAGCAGCTTGTACAACCAAATGGGTGGCAGGGCTTAAACGATGTTATGGGCTTGCTACCGGGTTCTACTATTAGCAGTACTTCGCCTAATGTTCCATCGTCCGCGAGAAGTAAGATAATGCATGAAACGTATTAGAGCTGCGAGAACCCGTCCCAATCGTGAGAAAGATTTTGATCCCGGTTCCAAGAATAATTCTCGTCCGGACATGACATCTTGGGTTCTCGCAAAACTCTATAAAATTTGTTCTAATTATAATAATTCATTTGCAAACTGAACTTTTAGGGAATTCTATCAGTAGCGAAGATTCTAATTCCGAGCCACCGAAATTAGTAATGGTATTCTTCATCGGTGGATGTACATTCGCAGAAATTTCTGCACTGAGGTTCTTATCCCAACAAGAAGATAGTAAGTAATATTTCTGATTATTAGATAACTAATTAATACTATTGTCTATAGCGTATTTTATGTGGAACTTCTACTTTCAGTGAATGTAGAGTTTGTTGTTTGTACTACGAAGCTAATAAATGGAAACACATTCCTGACATCGTTAATGGAGAACTTAGAAAGTACATAATTTATGTAAAATTAATTATTACTTCATTTAGACATCACTGACATTTAGAAATAGCAGAAATCCTTCTGTGTTAACAAAATGCATTTAGTGAAGAAGAATTTCACTACAGGTGCAATAGAAATGCTAATTCTGTCATACATATGAAGAAAATGAATTTTTATACCATTTTTATAAATTAAGTAATTGTATATAAGGAATGTATATAAAGTTGAATTTACGTTAGCATAATAGTAAGAGGAAGATTCAGTTCAGAATAAATTATTTAATTATAGAATATAAAATAAATGTTGGAGGAATGTAAAACATGGATGAATGAAACACAAAGTGTTAGTATGTGTGAAAGTGTAGAAGGGGAAAAGAGAACGGGGTGAAAGATGAGCTAAGAGAATGAAAAGGTGAAAAGGGAGAGAGAGCAACATAAATTATACATATAGAGTGTGTGCAGACAACTATATTGTAAAAGGCTACAATTAATAAATACTACTAAATAAAGAGAATCCTAAGTGATGAGACTTACAACATTTACGCAATATAATCTGAGACAAATGATATCTCTGATAATTGCGTATCTAGTTACCAGTCAAAGATGTGTCATCCTTTTATCCTGCTTGAAAACAATAGAACCGATAAGATTAGTTTTCGCTATTAATTGTTTAATACCCGGAATCATCAAAGTTGGGCCCATCATGCTCTGACTTATCGATAAGCCATCCGTAAGTACCCGCACTAGTTTAGTAGTTGACCGGCGCAGAGCGCCAATGCGACGAAGAGAAGAACTCGGCTGCTCGACTGCTGTGTAGTAGCGCTGTAGAGTACACCCGTACACCCAGGCCAAGCGAAAAGGCGTGAAAAAAGTTTAGCGAATTCTCGTGTATCCGGCCGTGCGGCGACGACGACGACGACGGACGGTGGGTGCCGTATTGTTGCGTTACCGCGGATCGTCGCGTCTCGCGCGTGTGTGCGTAACTACGTGCGTGACACGTACGAGGCGTGTACCTGTCCGAGGTGCGGTGCGTGCGTGTTCGCGCTACGAGAGATCATCGTCGACCGGATTCTAATATGCCCGAAGGATCGGGCAGGTTCAGGAAAAAGAGGTGCTCCGCCTGAGCCGAGAGTGCTCGGAGCTGCGCGCATGCCTCCGTGCCCGCTCCTACGCCATTTTGGAGGTGAATATCATTTTTTTCCTCTTCGTCGCCGAACAAATTCTCGTCGTTGAACCCGATCGGTCGGACAACGACGTCGTACGCGTGATCCAAACACGGCCAGCGTTTTTGACTACGCCGACGATGTCCCTCTACCGCATTTGCGGGGCCAATCTGACGCGATTGCTTCGAGTCAGAGACCCAACCCTCCTTACGCCCGCATTTCTACTACTGCCTCCTCTGAATTTCACTCGATCGCCTTCTTCCGAGACTTGCCAAATGACGAGTCTCATCGCCTTTATACCTCTTCGTATTTCCTCATCTTCGGGCCCAAGTCGGTTTGAACAAGTTCTACGTGCCGCTGATAACGCTCGCTTCGATCTTCCTCTGCGGTTTGTCCCGCTCGAAAACATACGATATTTATTTAAGTCTGACCAATTTCTCCGATGGGTCGGGTGGTGTATTTCGTATAAATGTCAGTTGCACGTTTTAATTACACGAGAAAACGTTTCTTAGAAAGACCAATATTTTCCAAGTGCTCATTTCTGTTTGTTGTTTTTATCGAGAGACTTGCATCTTCTAATCTATCGGACAGAAATTAAGTTCGAAGAAATAATTAAATCTGGGTTTCAGTTTTGAACTAACGTTCGCAATCTGTATTTTTTCGCAGATAGAATGTTAAGTTTTGGAATGGACTGACAGAGGATTAAGCGAGACTATAAGATTTAGGGTAGAGGATCGAAAGGCGAGTGGACGTCTAAAGGTGTCTGAGATAGGGGGACCTGGGCATTTAATTATTAACACATTTACTATGCCAGCTGTTCCGAGGCCTGGTAGCCTTAAGGACCCAGAGATCGCTGAACTGTTCGAGAAAAATGATCCGGAGAAGATATTTGAGGATCTGCGCGAGATCGGGCATGGCAGTTTTGGGGCTGTTTATTATGCACGATGTCTGGTTACCAAAGAAATTGTTGCCATTAAGAAAATGTCCTATTTGGGCAAGCAGACCGTTGAGAAATGGCAGGATATCTTGAAAGAGATTCGATTCCTTAGGCAACTTAACCATCCCAATACGATAGAGTATAAGGGCTGTTATCTCAGGGACCACACTGCCTGGGTACATACTTTTCCTGCTTTTAAGTGACCCCCGTTCACCATGTGTTTCATTTCTTAATTTCTCGATGGCAAATTCCAGCTGGTAATGGAATATTGCCTTGGCTCTGCATCGGACATCATCGAAGTTCACAAAAGACCATTAAAAGAAGACGAAATAGCTGCTATTTGCGAGGGTGTGCTCCGCGGTTTGCACTATCTTCACTCCCTCGGGAGAATTCACAGGGATGTGAAAGCGGGGAATATTTTACTTACTGAAAATGGCACAGTGAAATTGGCAGATTTCGGTTCCGCGAGCATAAAGTGTCCAGCAAATAGCTTCGTTGGCACACCGTACTGGATGGCACCGGAAGTGATATTAGCTATGGACGAAGGACAATACGATGGGAAAGTAGATGTATGGTCTCTGGGGATAACATGCATCGAATTAGGTATGCAAATTTATTATAAATACGCATGTGATTGAGAATTGCATCGACTTATTTATTAAACTCGCATCACCTAATTCCAGCGGAACGGAAACCACCGTATTTTAATATGAACGCCATGAGCGCTCTGTATCACATTGCTCAGAACGACACGCCAACTTTAAACTCCTCAGACTGGTCAGACGTTTTCCGTCACTTCGTCGAAGTGTGTCTAACCAAAAGTCCAAACGAAAGACCAACCTCTGGTAAACTGTTATCAGTGAGTCTTTCAGACAGACGTCTATTTTATTTCCGCAGTTGAAACACTTTGTAGCGCTGTAACGTACAAAGATTCCGCGTAAATAGTTTTACTGTAGTCTACTTAGCCGTTTTCTTATAGGCTTTCAATTTTACAGCATCAATTTGTCACTAGAACTCGTTCACCGCAAGTTTTGATTGACTTAATCCAGAGAACGAAAGCCGCTGTTAGGGAATTGGATAACTTAAATTATCGTAAAATGAAAAAGATCTTAATGATCGACGCTTGCGAGACTGAGAGTACAGTCGGCGACGCGGATGGTACGCTAATCTCGTAGAGAAATCATTATTTCTAGAGGCGTGAAAGAACTCGATGATCGGGACGGTAAAAACTCGATGATCGGGAAAAACGTCGGAAAAATACGGAAAATCGCCGGGACAGTGCCGGAAGACGTTGGAACATTTTCGAGTTCTCGCACACCTCTAATTATTTGCCCTGCATTCATGAGAAATTGGTTTATACATTCATTTGAATCTTTAGATACTCCCGACGAGCAAACAGGTGGTGATAGTAGCAAGAGCAATTCAATTACCTCGGAGCATTCGATCCATTCAATGGGCGTTTCCGCGAGCTCTCAAAGTTCCTCCACCAACAGCCTGCCACTGCCAAACGCTGACGCGAACGATTATTCAACGGGATCCGTGCGGAATCGACATAAAATATCGGCAGGCGGCGTCACTGCCAATCTCCTTGAACACGGTGCCAATAATTTTGCAACAATTAGGACGACGTCGATCGTAACTAAACAACAAAAGGAACACATGCAGGAGGAGATGCATGAACAGATGAGCGGATACAAACGAATGAGGCGGGAACATCAAGGTGCTCTGGTAAGCATCATTCCTACACGATATACAAGTATCTGAACGAAGAGAAACAAATTTACTCGATCGATTTAAACAGGTGAAACTGGAAGAACGCTGTAAAATGGAGATGGAGTCTCACAAACAATTATTAGACAAGGAATACGAAACCCTTCTACAGCAATTTAGCAAAGAATTGGAGAAACTCCAGTTAAGGCATTTGCAAGAACTAGAACGTAAGCTTAAGCAAAACCAAAATGCGGAGAAGAAGCTTCATAAAGAGATAACAAGCAGGCAGGAAGCGGATAGGAAGGCGTTGGAGGCGCAGCAAAAGAAAGAGTACAAAGTAAGAGGCGATAAGAATGATCACTGAAATTCTATTTAGAACCGATTATTTGGAATATTCTCGCTTCAGGTTTACAAGGAAAGGTGGAAAAAGGAATTGTCGCAGGACGAGGTAACGCCGAAACGGCAACGGGATGCGACGCTTCAGAGCCAAAAAGATAATTTACGACAAATGGAGGCGCAAGAAGAGCAGCGGCTCGCAAGAGGCCAGAGGGAGTACCTGGACCTCGAGATTCGTAAATTTCGTAGAAAAAAATTACTTATCTTCCACAGCTTAGAGCAAGAGCTCCTCCGAGAAGTAAGTACAATTTTCTCTCTTTTTTTATTTCATTATTTTTTTCTAAATATTTTTGCACTACATAGGAATTGAATAAGAGGCAACAGCAGTTGGAACAAGCACATAACATGTTGCTGCGGCACCATGAGAAGACGCAGGAGCTGGAGTACAGACAACAAAGAGCCGTGCATGCCCTTAAAGAGGAACAAGTTCATCGGCAACACGTCACCGAACTCTCTAATCAACAGGATTACATGCAAAGAGCCGAACGCGATTTGCGCAAGAAGCACGCGTTGGAACTTAAACAGCAACCGAAGAGTCTTAAAGTGAGCATTTTCATCTTTTTTTAAACGTCTGAAAATTGAACGTGTTTTTTATTTTAGCAAAAAGAAATGCAGATCCGAAAACAGTTCCGAGAGACGTGTAAAATACAGACGCGACAATACAAGGCATTGAAGGCTCAAATATTACAGACAACACCTAAAGAAGAGCAGAAAGCTGTTATTAAGAAATTGAAGGAGGAGCAGAGAAGGAAGCTGGCTCTGTTGGGCGATCAGTATGAACAGAGCATCGCCGAAATGCTTCAGAAACAAAGTATACGTTTAGACGAGTCGCAAGAAGTCGAATGCCACAATCTTAAGGTAAAAATATTATCGTATGACACTTACTTTCAATTAAATAATATTATTTTCTCTGTTTCATAGGAGAGGTTGCATTACGAGTTAGAAATTTTAATGGCGTATCAGTCGAAAAACAAAATGCAAGCCGAGGCGCAGAGGAATCGTGAGCGCCGCGAGTTAGAAGACCGAGTTTCGGTCAGGCGGGCTTTGCTTGAACAGAAAATGGAACACGAAACTCAGGAATTCCTTCGCGAGCGCAGCGAACGGATACGTCTACTCCACGAAAGGCAGGAACACGAGTTGCAACAGTTTGACGAGGAAAGTGCAAGAATAGGATTCAGGTATGTAACTACCGATCCATTCTCTTCATTCGAACAACTGGCAAAGTAAATGCGACTATTATATTAGATGGAGGAGGATGCTATCCTATTTCTTTCGCTATCATTGTTAGTTTTAGCTAATGACCCTCCAGGCAGTAATTGAACATCTACTTAAAACTGTTGTTTGCATACCGCAAAATTTCAAAATCAATAGGTAAATACAAATGTATGCTCATTCGTTTCGATATTTCAGTGAAATTAAAATTCAGTAATAAAAATTCCAGTAATAATAAAACAATATTACACTGTCACATTATTAGATTGTTATATTGTTACATTGGTGAATTTTTATTTGAGATTTGTGTAACACCTTTTATTATATTCATTGAAAACAAGTAGCAGTGCACTCGACGCGATTCCCATTGTATACCATTTACGCGCGCTTTCACACTGAGCATCATGACGAGTGTTTACACTCCGTTATCTCCCATTCAGGCGCACTTCTTCGCGGCCGTTTCGAAATCGTCATGTGCCCAACTTCCTGGAGGGTAGGATTACCCTATCGTAAAATTTAATAATTTTCAAGAGGAATATTGATGGAGCTACATCTACTATTTTTTTGTTTCTTTAAATTATTGCAGTGCTCTGGCGATAGCTGAGGCATCGAAAGAATCTTACCCAGACGATGAAAGCCTCAGTGGCTCGATGTTAAGCCTGGCTCACAGTAATAGTTCTACATCCTTCCCCCCTAATAGTCTTTAATTTTAATCATATTAATAGAATATGTATGTATGTACGTTTGCCTGTAGCGAGTGCATTAACGAGCCTACTACTAACGTTTAATTCGACGACTTACATGCATAACAAGAAGGTCGGCTCGTTGGATGCATCGAAACCCCCGAACCGGCGGCGGTTTGTCAGGGTTGGGAATGTGTATTGGACTGAAATTAATGTAACAGCATATTTTTTAATTATCGAAATATGTCAATGTGATCTATCTGGAAAGAGAGCTTCATATTGAAGAAGAACTTAGATGCTTTTTGCAACGTTGTAATATTTATTAACCATATCCAAATACCTTGTGAACTAAATAGGAGTAAAGCGAAAACGATGGGGAAAACGTCTTTTAAGTATCAGTCTTATCTACCATACTGGGAATAAAAAAAAGTAAATCTTAATGTTCTCGGGGCTCGAAGTGAAGAGCCTCAGCTATTATTAGCGTACAGAAAAATTTTATATGCGACTACAGAAAAATGTTTAGAGACATTTATTTATCAATATCTTGCAATTATAATAAAACACATAAAAAAATGAAAAAAAAATGAAAAAAAACAACCAGTATAATCATAATGCTCGAGTTATACGTTTGATTTTTGACTAATTGAAGATTTGAAATAAGAACGACACGCAGGAATAATATATATATATATTTCCGATAAGATTTTTCACTTGTCGAAAGGCTTAGTATTAAATTAACTATACTGATTTATTTCGTGCGTCGCCATTCTCTTGAGAACAATCTTATTTCAAAGCTTTAAATGGCACTTAGTCCGATTTAACAATAAACTGAGTGAGCCGATTTATTTATTTAATCGCATTCTTCATGCGGGCCGCATTATATTATTATTAAAAAGAAGTGACGAACTAATTGAAAACGATTTAGTTTCCATTATCTTATATTGTAGTTGTAATAATAGCGCATCCATGATAGGCAAT